GAAGCGAGCGCTATCCTAGAAACAGAAAGCTCACAGCTGTGACTCGCCATGCTGTCCTCATGTACTTGTCAGCTGGTCCCAGGAACCGCACAGAAGCCAGAGAACGACGCGGGGACGATGGCGACTCAACCAAGCGCAGTGTCAGTAGCCCTGACTGCAGCATCTGCACCAGATGTGGACGGAGCAGACCGACAGGGCCTTGGGTCCGTGCCATGCGGCCTTTGACTCGGTGAATGGCGTGTGCTCGTTTCCATCCCTTTGGGGTATACTGAGAAGCAGTTTTCCTTCACACAGAGCGGGCGCCCGTGGACATGTCCTAGTATGTGTACTTCTTTCCCGGGGTGATGACAGCTTCCCCCTGTCACAGAGCAGGTGGACCTGTGCTATCCGGATATTCCCTGACCATCACATGGCATCAAGTTAATCGAAAGGAATAGCAAGAAGCAGCAAGTACACTGGAGACCTGGGTAAGGTACACGTGCTCCAGAGGGTGGGAGAGAAGTCCCTCAAAGATTTGGGGACCTGCACACCAGTGAGGCTCTTAGATGGCTGGTGAGCTGAGCATGCTGGGGTATCCCCTCCGAGGACACACTGCATCTTTTCCTTCCATTTCTAAGAAGAAAGCACAGTGCCTGCTTGGTCTTTTGGGGTTCTGGAGACTATGAGCTCCTCCTGGGATCTCTCTCCAACCCAGAGGACACAGAGGCTGCCAGATTTGAATGGGATCCAGAGTTTCTCTAGGTTGCAAAGTCAGAGGCCCTGCTGCTTGGACCACAGGAGCTGTCAGACCTTGCGACACAGAGGTATCTGGGGAGAATTTATGCCAAGGCCCAAGAGGAGCAGAGAATTTTGTGGCATTTGAAAAGCAGCTCCCAAGTTGCTGCTGAGTACTGTTAGAGTTGGAGAGCTTGACCTTGTGACATCCGGGGATGGTGCAACCAGAGCATCCCCCTTGGGCTAATCTCTCTTGGACCTGCCAGGCTGTAAGTTTGGGGGGGCCGGCAGTACTCTGTGGGAGATGGAAGTGGTCCAGCTGTGACCGAGTGTGAGCGGGGCCAGCACACTCAGTGAAGCTGCACCAGCATGGCCCCACCACTGTGGACGGTGCTTCTCTTTCAGTTCACACCTGTGGCCACATGGGGGTCTCATGATGAACTGATGGGGAAGGAAAATGTATGAGCTTTGTTCACAGCTGAGTGACTCGTGGTTGCAAACCCAAAATGGACTCCTGCTGCAGTGCACCGTCACTCGGGGAGCCCAGACAGCGATGGGGGGGAACTTCCTTATGGGTGGAGTCTTGGGGAGTACACGTGGTCATCTACTCTGTAGAAAGGAAAGTGGCCACGGGTAAGGACACCCATAGTCTTGCAGGCAGTGGCAGGTGGATGGGCTAGTTGACTGGGAGTCAGAAGAAAAAGATCTGAAGACAGCAGGGAGAGAACTGGGGATAAGTCACATGGTTGGACGTACAGGAGTGAGCAGATCGGGGAGCTCCCTGTACTGCACCCACGTCCGCCATGTGCTCACCACGGAGGAGGCATCCTACGACTGCGAGACAGCAGCCTTGCTCGGCTGACATCAGCCAGCCTCTGTGATCAGTTATCCCGGTGTGTGCTCGAAGGAGCCACGTGGGAGCCCAGGCCTCACGTAGCTCTGCCACTTCTCAGAGTTCACCCCACCCTACCTCCCCCAGCGAGGGAGACCAGAGCAGAGCGCCCGGTATGCCCCTGGTCTCGGCCGAGTTCGTGAATTATGTGGTGGAAGGAGCAGTGTTTCAACTTGACCAGTCTGCACACAGTCTGGACACAGTCTGGACAGTCTGCACACAGTCTGGACAGTCTGCACACTGTCTACACACAGTCTGCACATAGTCTGCACACAGTCTGCACACAGTCTGCACACGGTTTGCCCTTTTCGCCTTCAGAGCCTCGGCCAGCACCCCGGCTCACAGAGTATTTGCACACTGTTCGGAGATTCTGAGTAACTTCATGCTGGACCAAGGGGCTCACTTCGCAGTCAAGGAGGCACTGCAGTGGACGTGGGCTCATGGGACCCACTGGTCCTGCCCCATCCCAGTGGCAGTGCAGTTAAAGTACCACGTTGAAGGGACATGCTGAGAGGTAAGCACCCTCCTTGGCCATGATGAACACCCAACATCAGTGACCGGTATGTGAAAATGTGTCCTCAGACGGCAGAGACTAGGCCAGGAATTGAGGTGGGAGGGCCGCTGCTTCCTGTCGCTCTCAGGACCCCTGCGCTCAGCTGCCAGGGGCTGAGAGGTCCCGGCCTGGGCTGAGAGATGCGCCCACCATGGACAGAACGAGATGCTCTTTGATGGGCAGTTGCAGGTGCTGCCCACTCCCTCCCAGTTCCTGTGTCTAGGGCCCACCAGGCAAGGAGAGGGGCCCCACCCTGCATGGGTCCCTGTGCAGTCATGCTCAGGGGAGGGACGCTGCAATTAGCACCCCTAGAACACCCGTTGGGACATTGCCAGGATCCTCCTGCCCGTTCCAATTGGCACACTGATCAGGGTGGGAGCCCCAGCTTGAGAAGGGCACGGCACCTCCTGGGGAAAAGTCGGAGACCCCCACCAGGTGAGTCCCCTCGACCAGGCATATGGCTGAGCTGGAGAAGAATCTAGAACAGATGGCAGAGGAGGGTGGTCACAAGGACCTGTGGTCCTGAGCCTGGCTGCAGCAGAGAGAGCTGTGGCCATCCCCCTAACCCTTCTCTTACTCTAACCCTTTCCTTGAATGTTTCCCCAGGAAAAGAGACCCACGGCATGCTGGAAAGCTGTTCCCAGACAGGCTGGGGTTATCACAGGAAGCAAATAGACCCAGGCCGTGAAGAAGGTGGACTGCGGAGGGCGCCACGCCTCTGCCTGCACCCACCTCAGAACTGAGGCCCTGGTCCACTGGCTGCTGGGAGCAGGCCTGGAGACCCTCCACAGGGACTGCCCTCACTGCCTGCAGGAGGCACCCTGCCCCTGGCCTTACCTCCTTGGCCAGCTTCCTGCCTCCTTGGTGGTCCAAAGCCTGGACTCCCTTGTCTCAATTCGGGACGGTTCTGAAGGGCCTGTGGGAGCTGCCTATGGGAGCGGCCATGCCCTGCTGTAAGTACGTGCTCAGTGTCGCCCTCTGGCCAGTCCACCTGCCCTGCCCTCCTAGGGGACTTGCACAAGTACCTGCCCCATACACCTCCATCAGCTGTTCTCCATCTCCGAGCCTGGGCTCTAGGCAGCTGTCCATGGACCGTGGCCCCCGGACCCCAACCTTCAGGCCCTGGTGGTGTCCCTGTGTCCCAGCGCGACCCTCTTCACTTCCGATCATCTCCCAGCCTTTCTGAGAGGGGCATCACTTTTCTTCTGGTCCTTGTTCAATGTCTCTTACTCTCACCCATTCCCCTTGTAACAAAAAGCAGCCTGCAGCTTATAAGAAATTCATGAGCCTGTGTTTCTTTTATTTATTTTTATGGTTAACTTCTATTTATAACAAGGAGTGCTGGTTTTCATTTACACTTGAGATATAAAGGTTTAGTTTAAAATAAATTTAAGTAACACACAGTGAGTTGATTTAAAGGAAAAAACGCTAAGGCGATGATGGTCAAGGAAGGGACCGGGAAGGGGGCTAGCTGCAGGGTGGGGGTGGAGACGGGGACGTGGGAAACTTCTCCCCAGAGGCTTCTCCCACTGGGAGGGCCCTTCTGCACGGAGTGGATAGGAGCCCTGTAAGAGCAAGTCCACGGCTCGATTTCTGGTGAAGGCCGAACCCCACGCCGAAGCAGAGTTGGGGATTCCCTCCCTTCCAGCGAGTGCCCTGTGTGGGCTGTGCTACCTTGTGTCCGATCCTGCAGCTGGCCAGCTAGGCCTTGACTGCCAAGTCCTCCCTTGCTCCCTGTTGTCA